CTATTTAGGTAACACACGTTGCTGAGTCCTCCCTCAGAGCTGGCCCTGCGTTAAGTGCCAGGGCTTTTGAGATGAATGAGACAAGACATGGGTCCCAGCCTCAAAGGCATTCATAGACTAGTGAAAGAGGCAGGTGTTTTCACAATTCAAGCCAAATGTCTATGTGTGCATGTATTTATATATGACTATGTCCACACATATGCGCATGTGGAGAGAGACAGAGACAACAGAGTTTGAACGGAGGGAAGATATGAACGAAGCTACTGAACTGCCAAGAGGTCAGTCAGAAAGGGAGAATGTCACCAAATCTCAGATGCTAGAACCCAGTGTTTAAATGATCAGTAATTACAGTCACTGTGTATTTAATGCTGTTTACATGCCATGAACTGTGCTAAGTGATTTCTAAACACTTTCCTGACAACCACTTGGCAAGGTAGATCTTTGTATCCCCATTTTATAGATAAGGAAACTGAGGTTCAAAGGGATTCACTGATTTGTCCAAGATTATCTTACTGGGAAGCAGTAGGGCCAGGATTGGAACCCAGGTTTCTCTCACTGTGAAGCCCAAATTTTCCTTCCTACAGAACAGGAGAAAACATCCAAAATCTCTATGTCATTAAACAATAGCACTGCAACTGCAAACAGGTGGATTCACCAAGCCACTCACTACTGACTGCTCGGCTCACATCCGGAGGCCAGGCAGTAGGGTGGACTTGGAGACCAGGACAGGGAGGGAGAATCAGGACAAGATTCCAGCCCTTAGAGCTCACAGGGCAGTGCTGGAGCCAGACAAGGAGCACAGGTACACCAGAGGGAGAGCCACATCCCGGGGGACCAGCCAGGGGGACCAGTCAGGGAAGGCTCCTAGGAGAAACCATGCCCAGGCCTGGCTGTGTCTTGAGTCACAGAGGCATTAGGCTGAGGAAGGTGACCGTCTAGCTTGAAGACATGGTCCAAAGGGCCCAGGGCAGGAATGAGCACATCCTGGTCCAGGAACCACAGGTGCTTTGGGATGAGTGCAGGTCAGAGTGCACCCTCTGAGGCAGTGCTGAGGACATTTTGTCGTTTGTGCTTCAGTTGTTGGGGAAATAACTGCTACACCCCCAGGAGACACATGCTACCTTCCAAGAGATGATATAGGACAATTCACCATAAAAAGTCCACACCGCCTTCGCCCCCACGGGAGGTTCTGCATGTGCGCTTTGGAATACGCAAGGATGGTTTCTGAATCTGTTAAGAGGAAGGATGAGGCTGCTGCTTGAAGCTAGAACACAGGTTTCCTTGTTCTCACAGGCTGAGAACAAGGCCCACTCCATTTATCTCCCAACAGGCCCCTTGAAACAGCAGCCCTGGACTCTCCTCCTGTGTATGCAGGGCCACAGGGGCTCTTGGGGATCTCAGAGATACAGTCAGCTTCCCTGTGGTCACTAGATCTGCCTTTAAATCCAAAGGGGAGAATATGCGATGAACAGTCAAGGGTCACTGGCCATGGTGAGCCTTCGCATTCTCACCCCAGTGTCACATCGCTCCCCTGGTTGTCCTGGCAAGTCACTTGCCCTCTTTCGGACTTAGTTTCTTCCTCTGTGAAATGGGCTACCAAAACCAGCCCTGCATTTGTAAAAATGAGAGACAGCCCAGTTAAACGGATGAGCGCAGTGCCTGTAACACACTAAGGAGAAGTTCCACAAACTGCAGTTACTACAATTATACAACTACTGCTACAATTCCGCTCTGTCTCCTCCCCGCCCCATTACCAAATGCTGTGTTTGCAAGCCCTCTTCCTATCTCTATCTCCCTTGTCTGCTCCCCATCGCATGGTACTATACTTGGCACAAACTCAGCCTGCTGTCATTCTCTTAAAGTTTTCACATAAAAATCTTATCTCCAGTCAGATCAAAGCTCTCAAAGCAAGGTAGTAGTGAGATGGGGATGGTTGTGTGTGGGGGGGGGTGATCTTCTTATATTTGCCAAGAATCCTCCAGAGCACTGAGCCAGGCTCTGGGCACACAGGCGGGCACTACATCAGTTATTGCTGATGGTCTCTACTCAAGCATCGTCCTGAACAACCAATACCTGGATGTTGAGGACTGAAAAGCGTTTGTGTACCAGGTCCCTGAGACCTGAGACCACTGATGCATCACCAAATTTGGCACAAATCTTAAGAGGTTTTTTTGTATTGCCTTTTCTTCCCTGGATAAGACATGCCTTTCTCTGCTCCAGAGGCTCCTTGGGTCTACAATGCCTTCCCAAGCTTTGCTCATGAAACATGTGCATAGGATCTGGTCTTTTCAAGGCATCCAGGAAGTGTTTGTCTTTTTTGAATAATCAAGATACAGGAGAGAAAAGGAAGGGGTTATAATAGCTGCCTGGCCACTGTATTATTTCTGACGTCAGGAATATGTTTGTACTCAAAGTGCAGCGATTCTGCGAAAACCCCAAACAGTTCTCAGGGATTAGCTGCTCGATTCCCTACAGGAAGAAGCAAGAAACACAAAGGCAGAACAAGCTGTGTGCCACAAACACGACATTGTACACGAGCCCAAGCCGGGAGGACATACTTCCAGACAGTTGTCCAGAGGGTGCATTCAGGTCTGCCACGCAGCTTGATGCCCCACTCCCATTTTTCCTCTGTGAATGAATTCAGAAACTGTATGGGAAAAGAAAGCTATTTTTTTGTTCAGTCTTCTTCATAGGTCTTCCTGACTTTTCTCCTTTTTAGTGATGGGGATAATAATGACATGAACCTTAGAAAAGGCAAAGTCAGTGGTGGGACATATCATATATGAAGCATACCTTCAGTATCTCAAATGTTCTTCAGAAATTATATAAAATTTAGAGACATAAAATGCACGTGCATTGTAATAAGGAGAGTCAGCCCTGTAAATCCCAGCTAAAGTGTCATAGCAAATGTCTCTGTTTTGATCAGATATTACACATTTGTGTTTTAAAAAGAAATGAAAAGAAAAGAAAAATGTAGCTAACGGCGCCCTTTGCAGCCCCCCAGTGGTTGGAAAGAGAAAGAGGAAAGAACACGGGGGAGACAGCAACTCTAGATCCGCAGGACCAATCAACTTTTTACTCCGGAAAGACAAATGGCTTATTTTCAACATGAAATGAATATGTTCTAAGTGGAGAAGATGCAAGGTGTTGGTTAAAATGCACATAATTATTCACATATGCGTGAATCACTGAGAGCCTAGATTTTTTTTTTCTTTTCAATCTTTCTCTTTTATCTCTACCAAGTTTTCCATTTTGACGATGCATAAGCATACCAGGGCTTCTTCCCAAACAAGTTTTTTTCCCTTCCTTCACTTGCTGTGAGCCCCCCTGTACGTAAACATCGGCTTAAACATACGCCATTTGCTCCGCTACAAAGTGACGAAAAAAATCGAAAACGTAATCTGCCTATTTAACAAAGTGTCTATATTGGGGAAGGAGAGCAAACGATTTGGTCGTTCTTTGTTTTTTATTCTTGCTTTCACCAAAACAAGCGTCTCTCTGAATGATCAACGACTCCTTTACCCATTCCTTTACCTTTCCTTTACCACATGTTTGAGACATTTTCATAATCAGTTTTCGTCTTCCCCCCCAAAAAACTACCTCTCAAGGATGGGGGTGGGGGTAGGAATTGATGAAAAGGAACAGGACGCCTGCTTATAAAATAATGTTACAAAAAACGATGCCACCAAACTAAAAAATTACAGCATAAACAGAAACTCTCCTATTCTCAACCGTCTCACTCTCAAGTTATGGGAGAGGCATTCCCGAGGTCCTGAGGAGGCGAACTGGCTGCCTCGCGCTCTCCCCACCCTCCAAGGGTAATTAAACGTAGAATACATTCCCTCCTGAGCCACAGGTAAGCTACAGTTCAAAGTCAGTTTGCAAATCAGGTTGCCGCTAATAGGGAGCCTCTGTATCTACAAGAGCAAACTCCTCCGTCCTCTGAGGATTGTCAGTGACCACGTTCCTTCCCGTACTGGTTGCCGGGCAAATCTGGCCACAGCCTTTAAACCAATCGCACGCCCTTCTATCCTAGTCAAAACGCAGAGAATCAACAAGTTACCACCAAGCCGGGCACTCCAGCCCAGAACTGCCACCGCCTCTCCTGCGCCCATCGCCACCCAAGCCCGCTCTGCTCCTCCCTTGCCTCTCCCACCACCGTCCAGCAAGCACGTGACCTTCCGTTTCAGTTCGCCCTCCAGACGCCCCCACCCCGGCGCTCCTCCCCGCGCTCCCAGGCAGCGAATTCCGCGGCTCGCCAGCCTACAGTCTCCCGACCGCGCCAGGCGTTCACCAGGATCTTGCTTCCTCCGGGGCGGGAGAAGCGGGGAGGTCAAGAACTCCAAGCCAATAGGGTTGCGGGGAGGGAGGTCACCGGATTCTGCGCCTCTGTGCTCGGGTGCCCAAGCACAGTCGGAGAGGCTATGGGGAAGGGTCACATCCCGCACTTCTTCCGGACTCCGCGGCCCACCCGGAGGGCGCGCGTTCCCAGGGGAGCCAGAGCCGCCCTGGGGGATCCTGAAGCCAGCCAGGGAGGCCTTCCCTGGACCCCACAAGCTTCCACCCCATCCCCGAGCTGGGAGACGAGCTCTGCTCCCTCCTTTGAAGGCGCCGCCACTGATTCCTCCCTCAGGGCTGGAGCAGACAACTGCCTGTCCGCGCCGTGCCAGCGCCCTGCTCCCGCCGCTCCCGGGCCGGAGCCCGCCACTCGGCCACTACACCCCCACTCCGACGCAGAAAGCCCACAGAGTTGTCCGGACTCCCCAGACCTGGCCTTCCCCTGGGTCCCTAGAACCTGCCCAGGGGTTGGGCCGGCGTCCGCAGGTGGAATCTCTCTGGTCCAGGGCGCAGGGCGCTCACTTTGGTCATCCCGGGCGCCCGGAGGCCGGGGAAGCTGCGGCAAGGGAGGGTGTGCAAATCCAGCGGGGTCCCCGCCGCTTGCACCCTCAAGCCCGCCCTGCTTCCCTCCTCCGAGACGAAGAAACTTCCCCAGCACCCACCTTTAGAGGCGAGGAGGCGGCGCCGCCGGCTGCCCCCGCCGCCGCCGCTGCCGCTCCCCACGCCCAGCACCAGCAGGAGCGGTACCCAGCACAGCCTCCCAGTCACCATCCTCGCCGCCGCCGCCGCCTACGAGCTGCCGCTGCCGCCGCCGCCGCCTACTGCCCTCGCCGGCTCTCGCCTTCCGGTGTCCGCCGGGCCTCGGGCCGCCTTGCCCTGCCTCTGTGTGCGCTTCGGGCGCCGCCGCGCTCGGCCTCCGGTGCCCGCCGCCGCGCCGCTAGCTCGCCCTCAGCAGCCGCGCTCACTGGCGCGGACCCCGAGCAGCTCCGGCGCTCACCCCAGGACGGCCCGTGACGTCACGGAGGGAGGGAGGTGGCTCCTGCATATTCATGAGACGCGGACACCGGCCGCGGCTCCTAGGCTCGCGGCTCCGCGCCCTCGCCCCCCAACTTTCCTCCACCGTCCTCGAGCTCCGGGGCCCTCCTCTTCCAGGTAGGACTCGGCTCCCAGAGGACCGGGTGGGCGGCTGCGGGGAGCCCTCCGGCCTCGCGCCCTCGCTCCGGCTGTCAAATAACTGCCTCGTGGGAGGGCTGGCTCCCTCAGAAGTGGTCCCCGGGAGCCTGAGCGTCGCCTGCGGGGGCTCAGCGCACCGTGCCCCGCCACGCCCTTGGAGCTGACATCCGTGCGGAGGGGCGGGCGGGCGGGCGTTGCTGCAGGTCCTGCCCTTGGCCGGGTCTCCGGACGTTCTGTGCCGCCTGGTCTGGGGAGGGCGCCAGGCACACGCTAGAGCTGGAAAGCGCGAGTGCTGCTCTAAGTTGCCAAGCCGGGTACATCACCGCGGACCCGGAGGGCAATAGCCGCACTCCGCACCATCTTGGAGAGGCAGGAACAGCCAGGGCTCTAGGAGGCTGATGGACCAGATCACAAAAGCCAACGTGGGCCGCTGGGCCTGCCGAGGCTGCAGTGGGACAGACACTTCCCTGCAGTATGGTACCCAGGCAAGAAGTTACCACCTTTCTGTTTCACTCCACGCATCTTGAGACCAGGCCACCCGACGTCATGCCTTTTAACACCTCGTGAGTAATTGTCAGTACCCAGAGTGCAACAGCCTTGCACTCTTGACAACTCCCCACCACCCCCAGACCACACAAGGTTCATAGAGGTACTCCCTAAACATTAACTGATGGCTCAGAAGAAATCCTTGACCTTATTTGCATACATATATGCAGTGCCAATATCACACACAGGTCAGGGTTCATAAGGAATAGTTAAGGAAATAGAGAAATCTAGAAAAAAAAAGTTATTTATTCATTGATTCAACTCATATACTGAGCACCTAGACAGGTTATGTCACCCTGCCACTGGACACTAAATTAGACATTAGACAGTCCAAAGGCCAAGGAGAGTTGTCCATCCTCTCCTCAAAGCCTTTGTTCCTGTCTGAGAAGCCAAAGAGGGCAGTAAAAGGCAATTACAGTGCTTTGTAAGTGTTATGGTCCTACACATTCTTTATGTTGCCAGATATGTGCCTATACAAATCAACTAACAAAATATATGTTGCAACGGTGTCTAAACAGCATCCTATAATTAATAACTGTAATTTGGGATACTCAACAAAGCCATAAAATCCATTAACAGCCCTCGTGCTGCTCAGCCACTCTGCACCACCCTGGCAGCTCACTCAGAGACGCTGCAGTTGTGCAGGTCGACTCTTCTGCATTTCCAGGCACCAAAAAGCGCTTGCAGGGCAGCCATGACTCATGGCGGCTGCAGGGAGGCTCAGCCTAGGCAGGGCGCTTCACCTGCAGGTCTCCTTAAACCCACACAACCCACATCTGTGCTGTTATTCTTTCTCACATGAGCAAATGGAGGCTCGGGGAAATTAGGGAAGGAACTTCCTTGCCCAAGATCAAAGGGCTAATAAGTGCCTCAGGTCCATATCAGGCTCTTGCCTTTTTCAGACTTGATGTCAGGATCCAGAAAGGATGGCATGGAGGCTGGGAAGGTGAAGGTGACCCAGGCAAAATCAGGGAAACCAGCAGATAGAGGAGAAATATAAATTTGTCTCATTTTCTTCTGTTTGTGCTCCATCCAATTACATATCTGCCTCCCTTCATTTTCTAATAAGTAGACTCACCTTACTAACTTACACTGTCCCTTGATGTCATTCCTTTGAGTTTCTTTAAGACCAGTCGGTTAGTCCCAAAATTTTTACATGAAATTTCAAATACAGACCAAATAATGAGAAGGGGAAATACAGCTGATTGGAAAGCATCCCCACCCCATGTAGTAGATCACCAAAAAGAACACAGCAGAGAAAGACACCAGGGGGCAGGCCAGTGAACAAGAGGCACAGCGTTGCTAGCCTCCATCTCCTCCTCTGGAGGTAATAACTATGCCTATTGTGAAAAATCAAGTGTACTAATGACCCCCATTTGTTCATGTCCCCCTGAATTCATTCCCTTTGGATGTATTCTCCCACCTCAACTCAGAGCTTGGCCACATGACTTGCTTTGGCCAGTGGGACAGTAACATGCATGTTTCCTCTTCCTCTCTTGGACCACTACAGTAGGGCAAGAGACCACATGGAGTAGAGCTGAGCTGTCCAGCCAGCCAAGGCCATCCTAGACCGGTCAGCACCAGCTGACCCACGAGCTGAACACAGACACATGAGCAAGCCCAGCCGAGGTCAGCCAATCCTGACCTGCATCAGAGCCGCCCAGCTGACTCATGAAGAGGAATAAATGGTTGTTGCATTAAGCCATTATGTTTTGGGGTGGTTGATTAAGGAGCATTATGCCTACTTCATAAGGTCATTACAAGAAGTAAATGAGAAAATATATGTGAAACACTCAATATGTTGCCTGGTACATAGTCACCATCCAATAAATGTAAAAACTGTCTCCCTTTTATCTCTACTTCCCAAGTCTCTGAAATGCCAGTCATAACCCTGATTTGTGTCTTTTGAGAGAAAGTCACCAGCAACCTGGCTTAGAGGGGATGAAGGTGAGTAAGTATAGACTTGGAAATTCTCGGGCCACAAGAGCCTCAAGTCCACATCATTTGTATGGAGCTGTGCCCTCTGCCTGTGCTGGGCCATTGCAGATGCAAAAAATGGGTAAAGCAACACAACAAATAATGTGTCCCTGTTCACTTGGTGCCAGGCTTTGCAATGGGGGGTTTTGCAACCCATACTTACTTTAATCATTGCAACAACAGGTGTTGTTTTCCCTATTGTGTTCTAACCAGGTTACTGTCTGAGAAAGTTTGAGTAACTCATCTACATTCACCTATCTGTGCGGATTGTGAATTCATGTCTGCCTAATTCCAAATTCCATCTTTTTCTCACACATCATGGTTTTGAGAGAAACATATACAATAAGTAAACAACAAAATGTAGTTTCACAGACTCATAGACATGGAGAACAGACTTGTGGTTGCCCACAAGGGGGAGGGAAGGATTGGGAGTTTGGGATTAGCAGATGCAAACTATTATACATAGAAAGGATAAACAACAAGGTCCTACCGTATAGCACAGGGAACTATATTCAATATCCTGTGATAAACCATAATTGAAAAGATTATGAAAAAGAATATATATATATGTATATATATATATATAACTGAATCACTTTGCTGTACAGCAGAAATTAACAAAACATTGTAAATCAACTGTACTTCAATAAAGTAAATTTTTTTAAAAAGTAGTTTCAGATCGGAGAGACCTTCAAGATGGTGTTAAGAGTAAGAAATGGAGATCACCTTCCTCCCCACAAATACATCAGAAATACAGGTACATGTGGAACAACTCCTACAGAACACGTACTGAATGTTGGCAGAAGACCTCAGACTTCCCAAAAGGCAAGAAACTCCCCACGTACCTGGGTAGGGCAAAAGAAAAAAGAAAAAACAGAGACAAAAGAATAGGGACGGGACCTGCACCACTGGGAGGGAGCTGTGAAGGAGGAAAAGTTACCACACACTACGAAGCCCCTTCATTGGCAGAGACCGAGGCTGGCAGCAGGGAAGCTTCGGACCACGGAGGAGAGCGCAGCAACAGGGGTGCGGAGGGCAAAGCTGAGAGATTCCCGCACAGAGGATCGGTGCCGACCGGCACTCACCAGCCCGAGAAGCTTGTCTGCTTACCCACCGGGGCGGGCGGGGGTTGGGAGCTGAGGCTCAGGCTTCGGAGGTGGGATCCCAAGGAGAGGACTGGGTTTGGCTGCGCGAACACAGCCAGAAGGGGGCTAGTGCGCCCCAGCTAGCCGGGAGGGAGTCCGGGAAAAAGTCTGGACCTGCCTAAGAGGCAAGAGACCATTGTTTCGGGATGCACGAGGAGAGGGGATTCAGAGCACCGCCTAAATGAGCGCCAGAGACGGGTGCATGCCTTGGCTATCACCACAGACCCCAGAGGCTGGCATGAGACGCTAAGGCTGCTGCTGCCGCCACCAAGAAGCCTGTGTGCGAGCACAGGTCACTGGCCACATCTCCCCTCCCAGGAGCCTGCGCAGCCCGCCACTGCCAGGGTCCCGGGATTCAGGGACGACTTTCCCGGGAGAACGCTCAGCGCGCCTCAGGCTGGTGCAACGTCACGCCGGCCTCTGCCCCTGAAGGCTCGCCCCGCCCTCCATACCACTCCCTCCCCCCAGCCTGAACCAGAGCCCCCTAATCTGCTGCTGCTTTAACCCCGTCCTGTCTGGGCGGGGAACAGACGCCCTCAGGGGACCTACACACACCGGCAGGGCCAAACCCAAAGCTGAAACCCAGGAGCTGTGCAAACAACGAAGAGAAAGGGAAATTTCTCCCAGCAGCCTCAGGAGCAGCGGATTAAATCTCCACAATCAACTTGATGTACCCTGCATCTATGGAATACCTGAACAGACAACGAATCATCTCAAAATTGACGGTGGTGGACTTTGGGAGCAACGACATATGTAATTTTTTCCTTTTTCTCTTTTTCTGAGTATGTATTTGTATGCTTCTTTGTGTGATTTTGTCTGTATAACTTTGCTTTTACCATTTGTCCTAGGGTTCTGTCTGTCCTTTCTTTTTCGTTTTAGTATAGATTTTAGTGCTTGTTATCATTGGTGGATTTTTTTTTTGGTTTGGTT